ATCAGCACACGAACCAAGCGCAGACGCAGCAAGGACATACGCTTACCATAATGGATCATCATCAATTCTCGGATATGTTCAAGAGCAACTCCATAGCAGCGCAACGCCGCAACACCATACAGTCACACGGTCCCATACGTGCCGTCAGCACCACATCGATTAAGAAGCCACCCCTGACTAAAATGACATCGCTTACAAATGCAAATGCCGTTGGCGGCGGCGGCGGCGGCGGTGGCGGTGGAGGCAGTGTTAGTGGCACGAAATCCACCAGCACAAGCGACAAACATCACCCACACCATCATCATTATCACCCACAAAGCGCTCACCATTCGTCGCTTCACCATCACCATGGGAACAGCGCTACCAACCATCATCACCATTCGGCTTCCACAGGTGCTAATAGTGGTGGCAGCACCACAAATGCTATACAACGTCGCACCAGTGAAAGTTTGCGTCTGAACGTTTCAGCTACTGGTAGCACTAGTGGTAGCGCCGGTGGTGGTGGTGGTGCTGGCGGCGCTCGTGGTCGTGATGGATGTGGCGATAGCTCGGCCACTAATTCGTCCACTCCGAATCTTTCGAAAACGACCAGCAGCAGCAGCATTCACTCGAACACAACCCAAAATAGTTCCAGTTCGAGCACTTCGATTGCACCACAGTCAACAGCCACCACAGCATCGACATCGACGAAAGTCACTTCGCCGAATAACAATGGTGGCGGTGGTGGAGGTGGTGGCGGTGGTGGCAGCAGTTCGGCCAGCACCAACACTAGCCGCAGTCATCACAGTCATGGGCACGGCGCCGGTGGGGGTGGCGCTGGCGGCAATCAGCATCATACAACTGCCGCTTCACAGCCAAGCAGAAAACCAAAGACGACCTCATCGTTTCAGATTACTTCCGTGACTGTCGGACATCCCAAAGTGAATTCCGACAATGGTGATGAGTCAGCCGACGACTTGGATGAATCTCATACAGATGACAATAGTCGTGTCACCGATCTCGATAACGAGACGCCTTCAATGTCCGAGGATACATTCTCCAAAGAGGAGGTGTATTTCTCCAATAATGCATTGAGCACTACAGCACCGGTGATACCGACCAGCTCACAGTATGGACTTGTTGTGGTGGATCCCATTGGTCCGTCGCTCGGTCAGACCATACAAAATGTGCAGGTTAATGTCTCGGACAACATTATAAATGTGGTGAGTGCAGCTGTAACGCCAGGTGGCAGCAAGAAAAAGGATGACATAAAGGAGACGCAGCACCGCAGCGAGCGTTTCAAGGTGGTTAAGATCGAGTCGACTGAGCCATTTCGTCGTGGACGTTGGATGTGTATGGACTATCTCGATCACTCAACTGTGGGCACCGGCGGTAAGGAGGGCGGCGGTGGCAACAATAATGAAAAGACTGGTTCCTCCGAGTCGGGTAACGGCAATAGCGGTGAACCGGCAAAAACTACGCAAAGTATGATAATTGGTACGGGCGCTGCACAGCTGCTCGAGAATCATGTGGATGCGGTTGGTGGCAATAGTTTGCAGCTGACTACTGGCGGTGGCGCAGCGGCTGATAGTAACTGGAATTTTAATGAAGGTACCGGTGGCGCTGGCGGTGGCGGTGGCGGCGGTGCTGGTGGCGCAGTTACGCCGGCACAACAATTGCAGCAGCAAATGTCTGCGCCAGCGGGCATTGCTACGGCTCCGGCCACAGTGGTGCATGGCATGCAACAATTTGTAACCGATACTGCCGGTTCACAGCAGGCTCAGTCAGCATCACAACAGCAGCAACAGCCGGAACAACAACAACAACAACAACAGGCACAGCAAGTGTACGCGGATAATGGGAATGGAAATAATACGGATGGTGGCGCAGCCGTGCAGGAAGTCGCACATGGCCAAACATTGCCCATGGACTATGCCACTGTTGCTGCACAGCAATTGCAGCAATCGTTGCAGCAACTGAAGAAGCAAGAGGAGGCGATAGCAGCCTCTGAGGAGGCTGGCACTGTTTATGTGCCACCACCATTACAACAGCAACAACAACCGCAAACACTTCCCAGCGATTTCCAGTTTGACAGTAGCAATGTTGTCAATCCAAGTGATAACAACAATGATGCAACTAGCATGCAACAGGTCGAAACGGCTGCTCAGCAACAGCAGCAACAACAACAACAAAAAATGCCAACAACATATGTTGCTCAACAGCAGCAGCAGCAGCAACCACAAAGTGACGTATATAGCCAACAACAACAGAACTTCCAAGCTGCACCTACACAACAGCCGCAGCCGCAGCCGCAGCAGCAACAGCAACAACAGCAACAGCAACATCAGCCTTCTACTTCGCAAATAATAGCCAACGATATGCAACTTCCGCCACAACAGCAACAACAACAGCCTCAATCCGTCTCCGCACCAACATCGCAGATCGATGGTGTCGCTGTTCAGCAACAACAACAACAACAACAGCAGCCACCACAAACAACCCAACAGTTCCAGCAACAACAACAGTCACAGTCACAACCGCAATCACAGCCGCAGCCACAGCAGCAGCAGTCACATCCACCGCAGTATCAACACCAACAATCTGCGCCAGCTGGTCAAACGATGCCGCTGCAAATGGCAAACTATGAGTTGCAACAGCAGCATGCCGGCGATCAGCAACAACAACAGCTGCAGCAGAGTGCGCCGCCAACGATTGCCGATCCAAAGGTGCTTGCGGCTGCAATACAAGCACATCAGCAGCAGAAGCAGCAGCAACAACAACAACCATTATCGCTTGACAATACCCAAATTAGTAACCCAGCAACAATCGCGAATACAAATAATGAGACATTGCAATTGCAACAACAACATCAACAACAACAACAACAACAGCAACAACTACCTAGCGCTAATAACTTGAACAATGCGAGTGCTAATGCCAATGACAATAGCAACAATATTGCTGGCGCAAATACGCCGCAGCCAGCTGCAACAACAACCGACGAACAACAAGCACAGGCGCAGTCGCAGTCGCAGTCACAGCCACAGCAGCAGCAACAACAACAGCAAGTACAACAACAATTGCAACAGCTACCACAACAGCAACAGCAGACACCACAAACACAACCGAGTGCAGAAACAGAGACTGAAAGGTGAGTCAGCATTTTTTCGTTGAATTAGTGTCTACTTGATTTTTTCATATCCGATTTTTTTATAACTGTGGTACGCCCACCTTACCGTCGATTTATATACAGTCAGTGTCAAATGTAAGTACCTATACACCTTTTTCTAATACATATAATACAGACAATTATTTTGAGGATTTTTTTTTATTAATTATTTATGAAAATATGAAATGAAAAATGAAATTTCACAATATTTATTCAGAACTTCTAGAAAATTTTCGAGTACGCAGTTTTGTAGCCCGTTCAATTTTAGTAAAGCACAGTGCAAGTTTAAAATTGCTAGAAATTACCGTTGATTTTTTCGATTTTTTTTTTTTTTTTTTGTTTTGTGGAGGGAGTTCCGCGTTTTCTTCCCTATAATGCGTGATTAAAATGTATTTTTCTATGGAAGAAAATGCGCAACACCCTGCACAAAAAAAAAATTCTAAAAAATCAACTGTAATCTCTAACGACTTGAAACTTGCAATTTTCTAAAAATTCTGAAAAAAAATCATTTTGAAATTTTGATGAAAATTTTTTGAATTTTCGTGAACTTTGTATAAAGTTAATTTTATAGAATGGACCATATTTTCTTAAAGAAGTAATTAATGAAAAAAAATTGTTGTGAAAGTAATTGTGAATATTATATTAGAACAACGTGTAAATTTACATCTGGCACTGACCGTCTGTGTAAAAAAAGCTATTTGGCCCTCTAATATTTCGGCGATATCGTGAAAAATTTAAATATTTTATATTGTTTAGGAAAGATATAATACTTAGTTCCCAAACTATAAATCTCTAGGAACCTTAAGGTATTCACTGCAGATCGAGCTCTATGGAATACTGTCAATATAATTAACCTATGGGGATGTTTGGTATGCAGATGGATCAAAACTTGCAAATAAAAAAATTAGGGCTAGATCGAACTTTAAAAAGTCTGCCACCATTTTTCATGCAGAAAAATTTGTTTTGTCTTTCGAAAGATCTGCCAACGAGGAGCAATAAGTTTTCTAAAAATCAAATTAAATAAAACAAATGTTTTTCTTTTAAAACAATAAAAGCTAAAAATTAAAAGCAAATAAAAAAAAATTATTTCAAAAAATAAAAAATAAAAATAAAAAATAAGTTGCTAAAAGTTAAATCAAATTAAAAAAAGATTATTTTTAAAACAGCTAAATCTAAAAGTTTATGGTATTTTAATTAAATAAGAAAAATTAAATAAAATATAAATAAAATTTAAGAAATTTTAATTTAAAAAAAATTAGAAGAAAATAAATAAAATCTAAAAATTTGAATTAAAAAAAGAAAAAAATAAATAAAATTAGAGAAAAGAAAAAAATAATATAAAAAATTAGTTTCTAAAAATGAAGTGAACAAAATATTTCCATTAATAAAAAAAATATTTTCCTTTTTAAAACAAAGTTAAAAAATTAGAAGAAAATTTAATTAAAAAAAAAAAAAATACAAAGGAAAACAAATTAAATTAAATTTCTAAAAATTAAATGAAAAAGTTTTCCTTTAATAATTTATTTCGTTTTTAAAACAATAAAATCTAAACATTGTACTAAAATTAAATTAAAATAAGTTAATATGTAGTAAAAACAAATATTTTTACAGCAGACTTTCTAAATATGAGCTAAATCAGACCATTTGTAGCCCATTTGATTATACTCCAAAGAAGGACAAGTTTCAAGTTGATAAAAAAAATCCCCGTTGATTTTGCGAATATTTTAATACATAATTTTCAACATTAAACTCTCTTGAATTGCTGGGCGCAATTTTTTTGCTGCTCAGTGAAGTGTGCGTTACTTGGCTGCCCACCAAATGTGGTCTAATTTTTTTTTGGTTCCCGGGTTGTGCGAATAGTCCTCTAAAAGAACGGAAGCCTGTATTCAGTCTATCAAAAACTTGTCGATTTGGTTTATCGTCCTTCGATCTGCAGACAGCCACGTAGCTTAATGGATCTTTTCATTCTGAAACCTAGTGCCATATACTACCATGTTGGGGCCCCGGAGATGTTGAATCAGCCTCAGTCCGTTATTGGATGTTTTGTCTTGGAGGCTGAATTTTCCGATGTTGATATTAAATATATCTTTCTTCTTTATTTAATACCACAGCCTCGTTTTTCTCTTACGTCTGGGTGTGAGCGCAAATGAGAGCGAAGTTGATAAGAATTGCGCCAAGAGACGCGCTCGCCGGCGTGAACGACAGTACCTAGCGGCGAAGTCTTCTACCGTAAATCCAATAGCGAATTTATACCAAGTGCTAACGATGGGGTCTCATCCCAGGCTTTTTCGAATTTTTCATTTTTACTTGGCGGGTCCCAAACACAACTTGGTTGTCCATCATACAATTGCTTTAATCATAACAAATTTTTAATACAATTTAATGATCTAATTTTAAAAGATCGAAACTTTGAGTAAAACATATTACTTATTCTACGTTATTCTTAATTAAAAATGAACAGTTCAATAAACCTCTGCTTAAACTTTCCAATACTTGATTCTGAGTAGATACTTAGTGGTTTTTGTACAAGAAAAAAATAGCACCAAACCTGACACTTTAATGATTCGTTTCCTATGAACATTTATTTATTAAAACATATTTTCTTTGCCTAGGAAAATTTTCCACGTCAAACGCTTGAGCCGCAAGCAAACTTGGCTTTCCATATATTAAACTATTACACTTCAAATTTACTTTGGCTAACCTTTGGTTTCAAAATTATGATCACGTATTTATATCTATGAGCATACATACATACATATGTACATATTGACGTACTTCTGTGTGAATGTACAGTCATGTGAAAAATAATACGTACACAAAAATGTTTCCAGTTTTTACTATTTTGTATTGTTTTTTTTTTTTTTTTTGAAAAATACAGCTAATTACCTAACAAAAACCATATAGTAAGTCCAAATTTCAAACTTTGTGAAAAATTGTAAAAAGTTTACAACAAATTTTTTATTAAAATTTTTTGGAAAAATTTTAAGTATGCAGTTTTACACCCCAATAAATTCTAGCTCAATAAGGATCGCGCTGATTTTTGAAAATTGTTTTGCGGATAGTAATATTTTCTTAAAGAAAATTTTCAAATATACTTTGTATGAAAGAAAATGCAAAAAAAAAATTAAAAAAAATCAACGCGAATTTTTAGCCACTTGAAACTTGCACTTTATTAAGCTAGAATTTAATGCGCTATAAAATATAGAACTGCATGCTTAGAATTTTTCTAAAAGTCTTAATAAAAAGTTTGTTTTAGTTGTAGATTTTAGATAAGATTTTGTTGAATTTGTCTTGTTGTAAGATTTTCTAAATTTTTTAGAAAGTTTGATATGGGTTTTATTAAATAATGAGCTGTATTTTTATAAATACTACAAATGAAAGAAAAATAGCCAAAACTGGTTAAAATTTCGTGTCCGTATTATTTTTCACGCGTCTGTATGTATGTATGTATATATTTTATTAGCGTAACATGCTCTCCCTCATAAATTAAAATCCGAACAACAGCCATAGATTTCTTCACATAAATGTCTGCCGCAGACGCTTTGATTGCCGTCTGGAAAAGTCGGCTGCCAAAGTAATTGAATTGAACAGCTTGAAGGCAGTCTGTAACTAAAGAAATAAAAAGAGGCAAAAAATTAGAAAAAATATAGATATGTACAACAAAAAAGCAACAAACAAATAAACAGCTGTGAAATCGCCGGCTGCTGTATTCGTGTAGCACGTCTATGCTGCATACGAAAAAATACTTGTTGCTGTTGTTATTGCTATTGCTATTGCTGGTGGTGCATTTGAGTCTGCGCGACTTGGGGCGCCGATCGCTTGCCGGTGTTTCTGTTCAAGTTGCATTTGCTGCTGGCGATGGTTGCACTAGTGTTGGTTAATAATACCGGTGTTGCGGATGATGTTCATGTTGTTCATTTTGCCGGCTAAATATTTTTTTACATACATACATACTTATATGTATGTATATGTACATACATGCATATTTGTGTTGCAGTGAATGCCACCGTGGCTGCCAGCCATGCAATGGGGACTGAATAATTTCTTAAATTTTTATTTACTATTTTATTTTTCTTTAAGTTAACTTTGTTGCCTCGTCTTATACTAACTTACTTGCCACTTCGCAATGCCTGCTCCTCTCATCCAACTATGTATGTATGTACATAAGTATATATGTATGTATGTGCATATGTATATATGGGGTGTTCCATACCAAAATGGACGGGGTTCACCAAAACAAAAGCAAATCGATTTAATAGTTTTCCAAATATCTCGAGAACGGGGCGAGAAAAAATTTGAAAAAAACACACATACACACATCAAAATTCTCTATGAAAAGAAGTTTTTTTTAGATTTTTTTTTTAATAATTTTTCACATACAAATTTTTTGATAAAAAAAATAGTTTTTTGAAAATATGCCATCTCAAAAAAAAAAAATTTTTATAATCACAATGGTAATTTCATAATGATTTGAGTTATGAATTTTTTTTACACCGAAGTTGAGTAAAATGAGTACATTACAAATTTATAAATTTTTTAAATTTCTTTTTGAATTTTTTTGAGTATGCAGTTTTGTAGCCCAATATAATAAAGTTCAAGTTTTAAGCGATTTGGCAGTAGCTTAAAACTTGCACTTTATTATACTAAAATTTAATGGGCTACAAAACTGCATGCTGAAAATTAACAACAAAAAAATTTTAAAATTTGTAAATTTGTAATGTACTCATTTTACAAAACTTTGGTGTAAAAAAATGCATTATTCAAATTATTGTAGAGTGCACCCCGTAATACTATACTAAAATATTGTGCAATACTCAGAGCTACCATTGTGATTTTTTTTTAATTTTTTTGCGATAGCATATTTTCAAAAA